TGTAACAATGTTCATCTCTATGAATTCTAATGACTTCGAAAATGATATTGATAATGATTCCAACATCTCCTTTGGCACTCGTAAGATTAGTAAGCTCAAATAAACAATCACCAAATTTGGGATCATTGGAACTCATCTTACTCAAGGCAATAGACTTATGAAGAATCTCATCTAAGTTTTTCAAGGAATAGTTTGGAAATCGTTCCTCAAGGAATCTCCATATGATGTAGGCACAATCAAGAGCAGGCAAGCTAGCAAGCAAGTTTCTGGGCAAACCTCTAGTGATTAAATTGACAGTTCTAAGATTACGGATCATGTCAATAGACTCATCAAGGGTAGGATGCAAAGGATCAACATGAGGTGCACAAGGGCTAGTAATGTACTTGTTCAAATGATATTCATTGAAAATCTCAAGCATCTCATTTTCCACTCATGAAAGTACTCTCCATCAAGTATAGGCACTCTATGTCTAAGATTCCCCAACGTAGACTCATCCATCTTCCTCCAAAGGTGTTTAAACCAAAGCAATGGAGACCAAAGCTCTGATACCAATTGAAAGGATCGAGAAGAGGTGTCTAGAGGGGGGTGAATAGACAGTTAGTAAGAAAAGTTGCAGTTTTTAATTTCTTTAAGTTGAAGTGGAGTTTTAGCACAAGTTTAAACATTCACAATACATATCAAGTAAGCATGACAAGAGTATATGAGCAGCGGAAAGTAAATCATGCAAGTTGCAAGAATGTAAAGGGATGGGATTTGAGTGTGCAAACGCAATTGGAGATATAGAGATTTTTGGCGTGGTTCCAATAGGCGGTGCTATCGTACATCCACGTTGATGGAGACTTCAACCCATGAAGGGTAACGGTTGCACGAGTCCAAGGGGGCTCCACCCACAAAGGGTCCATGATGAAGCAACCTTGTCTATCCCACCATGGCCATTGCCCACAAAGGACTTGTCTCACTAGGGTATATCTTCATGAAGTAGGCGATCTCCTTGCCCATACAAATTCCTTGGTTTAACTCCACAATCTTGACGGAGGCTCCCAAGTGACACCTAACCAATCTAGGAGACACCACTCTCCAAAAGGTAATAGATGGTGTGTTGATGATGAACTCCTTGCTCTTGTGCTTCAAATGATAGTCTCCCCAACACTCAACTCTCTCATAGGATTGGATTTGGTGGAAAGAGGGTTTGAGTGGAAAGCATCTTGGGGAAGGCTAGAGATCAAGATGTACGTGGTTGGAATGGAATATCTTGACCTCAACACAAGTGTAGGTGGTTCTCTCTCAGAAAATATATGTTGGAAGTGTAGGCATGTTCTGATGGCTCTCTCCATGAATGAAGAGTGGGTGGAGGGGTATATATAGCCTCCACACAAAATCTAACCGTTACACACAAATCACCAAACCCGGTGGGACCGAATCAGACAACCCGGTCGGACCAATTTAGTTCATAATGTGACCGTTAGACATTTCGGTGGGACTGATATGATCAACTCGGTGGGACCGATGTGCTAGGGTTAGGGTAATACCTCGTCTCGGTTTGACCGATTACGCAAACTCGGTGAGACCGATTTTGGTAATAGGCAAAATAGAGAGTTGGCCAGGCAAACTCGGTGGGACCGATTGCATATCTCAGTGGGACCAAAATTATCGCAATATGTAACAAAGAGTTTGCAAGCCCATCTCGGTGAGACCGAGATCCCATCGGTGAGACCGATTTGACTAGGGTTTCTGGCAGTGGCTATGCCAAGTGAACTCGGTGGCACCGGGTAGGAAATTCCGGTGGGGCCGAGTTTAAATTTTGGTTTGGGAATATGTGGATATGGGAAAGTGGTTGAGGGCTTTGGAGCATATCACTAAGCACTTTGAGCAAGCAAGCCATTAAGTAACACCTCATCCCCTTTTAATAGTATTGGCTTTCCTATGAACTCAATGTGATCTTGGATCACTAAAAGCAAAATGTAGAGTCTTGAGCTTTAGAGCTTGAGCCAATCTTTTGTCCTTAGCATCTTGAAAGGGTTCCATATCCTCTTGTCCACGCCACTCCATCTGTTGAACTTGTCTGAAATATACTAGATGAAAACATTAGTCCAACAAGAGATATGTTGGCATTAATTACCAAAATCACCCATGGAGCACTTGTGTTTTCACCTTCCCTCTCCTCCCCTTTCCTCCCCCCAGAGTGCAAATAAGGAAGGGGGCGCGCCATAGGGCAGGCGCCCAAGGGGGCCGGCAGCCACCCTTGGGGCGCACCCTGGCGGCCTCCCCCACCTATACATATATATATGAGAGGGAGGGGGCGCCACACATCCCACGACAATCCACAAGCCGTGTGTGGCGCCCCTTTCCCCGGTTTCATCCTCCGTCTAGTTTTCTGCAGTGCACGGAGAAGCCTCGTGGAACAAGTTCACCACAACCGTCATCACGCCGTCTTGCTGCCAGAGCTCATCTACTACTTTGTTCGTCTTGCTGGATCAAGAAGGCGAGGACGTCATTGAGCTGAACGTGTGCTGAACGCGGAGGTCTCGTACGTTCGGTACTTGATCGGTTGGATTGTGAAGGTGTACGACTACATCAACCGCGTTGATAAACGCTTCCGCTTTACGGTCCGCGAGGGTACGTAGACATACTCTCCCCTCTCGTAGCTATGCATATCCATCGATAGATCTTGCGTGTGTGTAGAATTTTTTTTGTTTTCCATGCAACGTTCCCCTACAACCTCTGCGGGTACCTATGAGACTGAGCCAACATATCTTTAAAGCAACGAAGTTACCACAGACGCTTCATAGTTGACGGGCATATTATATACTCCCATCACTGAAATAGTAGCATAAGAAAAACAGATTTTATCACAAAGAATCTAACGATCTAAGCTTAGTTATCTTTTCCAAAATTGTTTATAAACACCGGTTCTGAATATTGACCGCACATCGATTGAGTCATGTCTGTATTGGGCACCAGGTGAAACCTTAGGCCCGGTTCGCTGGCCAGGTGGCAGTGCCGTCCCCACCTTGAAGGTGATGCCTGGGTGCCCATGGTAGCTACCAGGGTTGCAGCCGGAGGTGGTGGTCGCATTGGTATCTAGGAGAAGGATTTGGGCAATGTGTCTATGGTTATAGTTTTTCAGGGTGCAATTACTTCATCGTTAGTATCTCTTGGATGACGTCTTCTCTGAGTCTGACTGATTCTACCGTTCATTCATCGACTTTTAGGCGCTAAGGATGGATGGCGCGTTGACCCAGCCTGGCTGAAGTCGAGGCGTGCTTTCAAGGTGTTCTGTTTTGGTCGTGATGTAGCCTTTAAGCTTCGAGTCTTGTTTGTTTTTAAGTTGCTTACCAAAGAGGCCATGTGGTTTTGAGCTCCGAGTTTTGCCTTCTCACCATATGTGGCTTGAGATTTGACTATGCGAATTATTTTATTGTTGTAATCATGCATGCCAAAATGCGTTGTATGAGTCACTTGACTTTTCTTCTATGATATTGATCTCTCTCTTTAATGTATCCTTGAAAAGAAATATTAGACGGGTCTTCAAAATCCTCTCTTTAATGCTTCTTTTTCAGATGATAGGCATATTATCGATACTTTGCGAAAGAAACATCAAGCGGATCTTTATAGGATAGGTGTACGAGCATGCGTTTATAGGATGAGTATATTCTCTAAAAAAATGAATATATGTGCGTATGTGAGCATCCAGTATGCAGCGTGTTAAAGAAAAGAGAAATATTATTTGACTTTCTTTTTGGACTTTTATACTACCTTGCACATCCTTCGCTAAAAGAAAAATCTGGAGGCGAGCACCTCCTAGTGAAACCGACGCGCGGCGCCTCCACGGCCGGTGCGGCAGACACCTGACGGCTGACGCGCCAACGCCTGGCTGGTGCTCCTGCCGCACGGTGGCGAGGCGACTTTCCGCCCCTCCGCCCGCCCGGTCTCGCACGCCACGCGTACGCCGCGAAGGACTCCTCCCCCTCCCCTCCACCGCTCCCCGCTTTATCCCTCCTCCGCCTACCCCACTAGGCCACTACCGCTCGGCTGCTTCTCACGGGGGATCCTTCCGAGAACTTGCGGTGCCTGGCGAGCGATCTCGCCCTGTGGTGTCGCCCGTCCTCGCCGGCGCCGAGAAGCGGGATCCCGATTCCCGAGGTGCGTGGCCGCCGCCTGCATCCCGGTCCCTCCTGTTTTACTGGTTCAGGCAGACACGTCAACTGTTGCTGTGTGCTCTTTGGTTTTTTATAGCGGCCGGTTCGATTGTAGATTTCTCGAGTTCTAGATCCCTCGTCGGCGCTTGTCTGGTGTTGTTTTGGACGACTGGACGTGAGGAAATTTGGTAGATTTCGATCTGCCCCCCTGGAATTCTAGCGATTTTTCCGCTGGTTACCCTCCTGGAAGGTAGGAACCGCAGGTAGTTTGTTCGCCTTGCTTGATCTCGACCTGTTTGTTCTTCAGCCCACGTAAAGCTGTGTGTAGCATCAGTAGATCCAGTTCTGCAGGGTGAAAGGGACAACTGATCGTATCTAAATATTCCAGTGTTAGCGCGTCTTGATCGTTAGGTGTTCCATCAGGCACCAGTATTATAATCGACGCTACAGTGGAATTAGTGCCTTGCGCTTATAGGTTCCTCTCCTTCCATTTCCTTTCGCCAAAAAGAAAGGTTCCTCCCATTTCAGAGGTTCCCATGGTTTGTGGCTCATCCTGTTAATTTCCTCTTTTTTTTCAGCGGCTCTTGGAGCTGTGCGTTTTTTATTATGAATTTCTTAGTTTTTTTTTGTTCTAGCTACAAACCAAAATTTGTTAGTTTTGTACTACGTTGTTACCTGAATTTTTAGTTATGTCACACTCTTCCATCACACTGGCTTACTGAGTTGTCATTCTGTTCCTTTGCCAGTTTTTTTTCCCATACGAAGATGGAGATAATTTATGCGCATTCATCCGTGTGATAATATTTTCTGCAGGTGTTTCAGTTACATATCTGATAGAGTCGTCCCCCTTCAGTTAGCAAAATGTCATTTCTATGGAAGTCAGGCAATGGTGGTACAACGGAGAAAACCTTGACCCTGGAAGAACAGCAAGAGAAAGTAAGATACTATTCTTCAACCTTAGAGCTCTATTTGTCTCAGCTGAAGTGCTTAATCTTAAGGCCATTTGGCTGTTCTATTTACTGAGCAGATAAATGAGGTACGAAAGCAACTTGAAGAACCCTCGTCCCTAGCAATACAGGGTTTCCTTTCGGATGCTTCGATACTGAGATTCCTTCGAGCTAGAAACTGGAATGTGCAGAAATCGAGTAAAATGCTGAAATCAGCTGTGAAGTGGCGGGCAGCATACAAGCCAGAAATGATTTCCTGGGTATGCCTGGTTTAACCAATTCTATGTTCATGTTCGATTGTAGATTCATATGTTTATTGGCAAAACAAAAGAGCAGTGTAATTTATACATCAACGAGAAATTGGAAGAGCAGGTAGTACTCAAAAAGCATGCAGAGTAAGTTTAGTATAAGAGGAATAAGCTTGTCAGTGACAGTAACACACCACTGTGCTGATTGAATGATATCAATATTACTGAACTGTTGGCTGAAAACATTATAATGCAAAAGAAGATTGTTGTTGATACTTCAGAGTTACTTGTATATCCTGGTTTTCAAGGTAATATAAACTTTTCATCCTTTCAACATCCAGGAAGAAATTGCACATGAAGCAGAGACTGGAAAGATATATAGGGCTGACTACAAGGACAAACTTGGAAGAACTGTTCTTGTTCTGAGGCCAGGCTTAGAGGTTAGCTTATTCACTGCAGAGTAAATATCTGGAAATAATTTCATCATAAGATTCTTAAGATGTATATTTTGTATTTGCATAAAGAAACATGATTATATATATTCATATGCATATACCTCTCACATAATAATCTTTGGAATCATATTGGAGTTGCTTGATCTGAATAAATCGTAAAAGTGTGAAAGCGACATAGCAACTGTGAACCACAATTAGACCAACTCTAGCAGATCTGCTATATCCTCGCCGGCCTGTATAATTCCGGCGGTTTTACATTTTTTCCCATTTTTTGGCCTGAACACGCCCGCTAAAAGTCCACCGGCCCGTAATTTTTTTTTACAGGCGGCCCGCAAATCCGCCCGTCCGCCGCTATATGTACAGGGTTGGGGGCTTTTTAGGGTTCGCGTCCTGGATAAGCTCCGTCGCAATCCGCCCCCTCTGCCGTCTCCTTTCCTTTCTCCGGCGAGCAATTAGCCGCACGTTTCTTTTCCTTTCTCGCGGATCCATGGGCAGTGGTGCTCGCGCGCGTGGCAGCCATGGCGGGTTGCCGCCGCGCAAGCTCGCCCGACACAACGCTGAGGCTGGCAGCACCAGCCGGCCCGCCGTCAAGCTGTGGCGTTCCAAGCAGGCGCGCGAACGCGGCCGCCTTTCCCGTAGCGGTAGGCGGAGTGTGTGGGCCAGCTTCAACGAGCTCCACGAGGTGCTTTTTCCGCTCACCATGAGGTGCCGGAAGGCGGATGCGGTGGACTCCGCGGTGGCGGCCGGAGAAGAAGGCACATCCGACAGACTTGCCGCCGCAAAGGAGGACCACGCCTACGCCCACGCTTGGCGCAAAGTCGGCGGAGACGCTCTACCCTGGGCCAGCCTTCCCTAGGTTTAATTTGTAGTTTGATCTATGTTTTAAGCTATGTATGAACTCCGGTTGTGTTGTGAAATTTGTAGCGCAAACTAGTTTTTGAATTTGCAGTATGGACTATAGCGGATCTGTTCTGCCGGGACCTTCGAGTTCCCGCAAAATCATTTGAGGGGGAACCCTAAAACTATTTTGCAGCACCGATTTATACAGGATCTGCTAGAGTTGCTCTTGTGGAGCTATCATGTTAAGTTGTTAACCCTACTGGTATGAGCTCCAGAGTGATCTATCAACCTTTAAGAAGTTCAAAATTCATACTCAAATACTCGATCATTTTTAGGAGATGCTAAAGATAATTTCATGTTTGTTTGTGAATAATACATGTTTTCTTTCTTCGTAATATGCATGAATCTTGGGAAGCAATTTTTGTTTACCTTTTTTGTTTTTGTTTTATGCCTATTTACTTTATTGTGTAAATTACGGGGATGCCTCTGTATGTTCGATTTCTAGTTTTGTGTTGACTCTCAACCAACATCACTCTGGAAGTCTGGAGTCTGGACTACATAAGTCTGTGGTTCAAATGTGAAGTACTGTAGCTTTGTTTGTTCTAACCGTGCTTGCTTAATGTTGAAATATAACAGAATACTACCTCGGGGAAGGAACAAATTAAGTATCTTGTTTACTCTCTGGAGAAAGCGATTATGAATCTGACGGATGATCAGGAGAAGATGGTGTGGATGATAGACTTCCAGGGCTGGACCATGGGAAGCACACCGTTGAAGGTGACCCGGGAGACCGTGAGTGTCTTGCAAGACTGTTATCCCGAGAGATTGGGACTTGCAATCCTATACAATCCTCCTAGATTATTTGAGTCTTTCTATAAGGTGAGCAGTTGCACAACCTCAATCATTACTCTGTGAACAACATTTCTGCTTTTTGTTTTCCACATTCAAGAAGTGCTATTATGCCAGTATTCGACAATTCTTTGCTGTATTGCTAATTCTCTAGTCAGATCACAGCTTTTTAGCTATCCCACCAATTTGTCTTTTTTTCTTTTCTGAAATACCAATTTGTCTTTTCTAATTTATGTTAGCCGTATTGCTTCCTGATGTTTGGCGGTCTCCTCTAATATATCTTTTTTTAGCGTGAATCAACCGTTAAAAAATCCATTGTGGTGTGCTATGTTCCCTGATACAAAACCCAAACTCTGGAAGCACTTATAAACCCAAACGTGGGCACGTTAGAAATATCATTAGTCAGATTTGTCGGTCTCATTTTCTCTTAGATAGATTGCAATGGTTATTCCAGGTGAAAAAGAACAACCGCACTGGTAATTGTTATGCTTTATTGAGCTACTATATTTGTTGTAAGATCAAACTGCCTAACTTACAAAAACCAATGGCAGATAGTGAAGCCATTCTTGGACCATGAGACTAGCAAGAAGGTGAAGTTTGTGTACTCCAACGATAAGGAGAGCCAGAAGATAATGGCAGAGGTCTTTGACATGGACAAGCTCGACTCGGCATTCGGAGGAAGGAATCTAGCCACCTTTGAATACAGCAGCTATGCGGAACAAATGAAAGAGGATGACAAGAAGATGCAATCTAATGATGCGAGCTCTGACGCCTCAAGCGAGGCTTCCTTCTACAGCGGAACAGATTCCCCGAAGCACGAAGATGGAGGGCACGGCGCGACGAAGAAGGCCTGCGCCACTTAAACTGCTAATAGTTGCTCTATTTGAAAGATGTGTAGTAAGAATATACACAATCATCTAGCTAGACCTTTTGCGCCAGTGTTTATCCTTTTGTCGGTCACATTTTCGGGTCCAAGACTTGGAATGTTCTCTGCCCGTGGTATCATAGAAGATCAGGAAGAGAAAGCTTGGGCCAGAACGTGTGATGCATTGACATCTAGTATCAAGTAACATAAATGAGAAATATTACGAGGGCTGCCCTGTTGCAGGCGCTTCTATACGAAATAATTTGATGTTCAGCTCATGTGTTCCATGAGCAGACTAACCGATGCACTTTACTACTTGAGTGTTGTTCCGTTTTATGTTTGATGGCTGTTACTTTGTGGGGCTGATGACAAGTATGGAAATTAGCTACTCTGAATTAATTGATGTTGCTGTGTCAATTAATTAATTGGGATAGGAGGGAGTAGTTTCTTCCAAAGTGTAGAAACAGGTCATTTTTGGATATTTGAAGCGGCAGCCATTTTTGGATATTTGTAGCGGCAGGTATTTCTGATGATTTCTACAATCTGGCTTGCAAGCTCTCTCGAATTTATTTTGATCATTGTAATAGATTAGTAAATGCAGAGCTAGCTAGTATGGCTATAGAGGGTGGATGATGCCCCGCTAGAGATTATCCCTCTCTTGTTGAATGATGAAACAGTTATCAAAGCTAATAAAGGGAGGGAGGTATTTAGAAAAAACATGCGTGGATATTTTAGATTTCATTTTTTTAGGGGTGGGTGGATATTTTAGGTGCATTTTCTCATACGATGGACTCTGAAAGTCACATTCCCAGTGGGCTGAGGAGCCAGCTCCTCTGACTTGCAGGAGTCCTGCAAAGGAAGGGAAGATGCAGTGGTTTTCTGTGTAAAATAACGGAGGGAAGTCAGAGAGTAAAGTAAGCACTGTAGACAAAATAACGTAGGCGATTACTGTAGCGAATTACTGCAGATAAGCATGTGTATGAATCACTCGTGCGTGCCTAGTGAAGCAATGTCAGCGAACTGTAGCCCCCTCTGACTTCCCTTGGGAGGATCTCGTTCCGTGGGCCGAGGCCATTGAGTTTTCAATGAGACTAACCTATCAGGCTCAAGCTTGACTTATCTGCAAACAATGTTAACAAAATTAAGAGGGCCTTCTTTGGGCCGGCAAAAAAGATTACGGGTGGGAAATACAGAGCACTAAGTTAAAAAAAAAGCCCCAAAAGAAAGAAACCACAAGTTAGCTCCCCAATGGTCACTTTTACTTTTGTTTTTCTGTTCGATGCTTTTTTTTACTTTTTTTCTGCACACGTCTTTGAGTTTTAGATATTTTTTGGTGGGTGGGTGGGGAGGAGGGCTGTGTTCGGCTTTTCTATTTTTGCCTGTTTTTCCTTAGGTTTTGGAGGATTTTTTTTAAGTGAACATATCTGTGCTTTCACGAGTAGCACGGTTATGTTTCTCATGAAAGCACAAATTTATTAATTTATTTCCCCAAGAAGCACAACACATGCTTTCACAAGAGGCAAATCTTTTAGAAAAAGCACATATTTACTTTTACGAGAAGCACAAACCCTGAAAAAAAGGAACGATATACCTAGGAATGAGGGCACCTTCAAACAACAACATGGACTTACTGAAGGTAACAGTGATGCGGACTTTTTCACTAGCATACACTTTCTCTTCATAATGAGGAACCGACAACCCCAGGGCTTCGAGCAGTAAATCCAATATGGTTGCATAGGGAGTCCTCACGACCTTAGTGTAACACCCTGCCAATTTCAACAACATACAAAGAGACGTTAAAGAAAATCGTCAAGACAACCCGCAGGCAAAAACATATAAATCGTGTGCAGGGAGAAAGAAAACAACAAAGCATTCAACAACGATGAAAAATCCACATGTATTAAACAACAACGTCAAAACGCAAAACTAACCTCAGGTAGCCTGCTAAAGGAGGACCGAGACCCCGGAGATTGATCGTAGATGCCTCCATCATCAACCACCTCCATGCCCACAAAACCTAACCCTAATCCTAGATACAACAAGAAATTTAATGTCCCCTCCCTTTGCCGGAGCGCCACAAGGAGAAGCCGGAATCCACGACCTCATCGGCGGAGGGAGGGAGCAAGACTTTAGGCATTCAATATCGCCTACCCCACTAGCAGTAGGGAACGAATTGGCTCCTTGAGAGTCCCATCAATGCTAGGTTGCCCTAAAGACAAACATTCCTGAAAGTTGTGTTCAGTACTAGGAAAATGAGAGGAAAACCAAAGGAATCGTTGTTCCGGAGGAACCGACACCTTCGACCATGTTCGACATGTAGGAATCTCTCTTGACCAATCCTCGGGAAAGGTTCTCTAGCCTCCGTTTTTACAGGAAAATAAACATCCAGTCATAACTCATATTTTCGGGTAGTCCCGAGGAAGTGAAACAAAGAAAGCTGCGGAAGCATGCACGTCGGGACCCACGTATGCAAGAACTGCCGCAAGTGTTGATCTGTTGTAACATTTAAAAATCACTAGGTGGGAGCCATTTGAGTTGCTTTCCTTTGCGTTTTTTTCCTATGTGCCGAACGTCAAATCTATAGAATAGTACAACATTTTCTTTCCTCTGTTTTGTATATACATTCCTTTCCTTTTCCTTTATTTCTCTCCGTTCCTCCGATTTCCTGCCCTTTGATCCGAACATCTCCATTTCCTTTATTTCTCTCCATTCCTTTGGTTTCCTTAAAGGAAATGAAAAGGATTGGATGTGCAGAACAGAGGAAAGAAAAACGGTGTAAAACACTACAGAGTTGAGTACACAGAAAAAATAACCAAAGGAAATCAACTCAAGTGGGACCCATCTGGTGATTTTTAAATGTTATAAAAGATCAACAGTTGCTTCCGTTCTTGTTTATGTGGGTCCTAAAGTGCATAGATTAATTCAGCATGAGTCCAACATGCATGCTTCAGCAGCTTTCTTTCTTTCACTGCCTCGGACATACGCGAAAACACAAGGAATGACTGGATGTTTTTACTTTCCTGTAAAAACGGAGGCGGGACAAACTTTCCAAAGGATAGGTTAAAACAGAATCCTACATGCCCAACAGGGTAGAAGGTGCCGATTCCTCAGGTCCTTCGATTTTCCTCTGTTTTTCCTGCGTACCAAACACGGCCTTAACTGGCATCAATGCCAGAAATGTACATACCCCTGTCGGTCAACCCTAGATTCTCCATTTAATTTATCCTTTTTTAGGCCAACTCCACCCCATGATCCCAAACAAATATCCGATTTGGCAGATTTCGTCTGTTTACAGCGGCAATGGATTCGTATGTCCGCTGATATCCGTTGAGCCGTGGGTGCGCTCAACGCGTGGACGCACCTCAAATCATGTCCGGCGTGGACGTGATTAAAAAATAAAAAATAAAAAATAAAATAGAATGCCGAAAAAAGTAAATAAAAGCAAATATAAAAACATATAAAACATAAATTAACCATCACGACCACAAAACAGCCCAGTTCCACGGTTCACATTGCCATAATTAACATTTAAAAAAGCCGCCCACGCGCTCCTGTCGTGCCCGTCGATACCGTGGCCGTCGCCGTCTTCAGTGGCCGCCGGTGTCATCGTCGTCGCTGACGAGGTCGACGCAGTCCGGCGGCGTCCAGAGGTGGGCCGGCAGTCCGTGGTAGACGGGGCAGGCTGGAAGGCGGGAGGTGCCTGCATCACCTCCTCCCGTGGCGACGCGTCCCGCTCCGGTGACCGCAAGGGCGTGGGGCACCAGTTCACGCCCCCACGGCGGCGTCCCGAGAAGGAGCCGGCCTCGCGGTCGTGCTTCCCCTTGCGGCCATGGTTCCAGAACCCCATGGCTGCAAGGCGGCCGGCCGGCGAGTTCGAGGACGGGGAGAGGCTAGGGTTTGGGGGTGTCGGGTTTCGAGGAGGCAGCGGGCTGGAGTGCGGAGTGTGGACTACGACCGGTCCACGACCTCCCCATTTAAGAAGGTCGGCGACCGTTCGCGTGGGCGGATGACAGGTGGGGCCGGCCGCGCGTGCGCATTGATGTTTTTCAGGTGGAAGATAGGTGGTCGCCTGCCACGCGGCCCCGACACGGACGAGCATCGCGTCCGTTTGCTGTCCGCCGCGACCGAAACCCGACGCATGTTTGCGCTCGAAATGGGTCGATCCGGACACAAAACGAACCAGATGGATTCAGGCCGTCGCGCGCTGGACCGTCTGGTTTGTCCCTTTTATCTCAAACGGACGGGGCGGACGGGATAGGGTCATGTGGTGGAGTTGGCCTTAGTACAGTCCTCATTTGATTCACACCGAATGGAATTGGAATGCCGAAGTCCGAAGAACAACCACCATTCCCGCGAGTTCCAGGTAGACGGTCGCAGGGCATGGAGGCGCAGCATTTCTCAGCAACTCCGGCAAGCAACTCCCGGTGCGGCTCGCGTGGCACATGGGCGACCCATCCCTGGCGCTGCCTTTCAAGGAACAGCAACTGGCTGGAAGTGGAACGCTCGGAGAAGACAAGGGAGATCGGAACCGTTCGCGTCGCCGGGATTTAGATTTGGGGCTTGGTAGGAGGTGCTGCTGACAGGCGAGGCGGCTGTGCGTGGCGGCCGCGCGGCCACGTAGGTTGCAACTGTGCGCAAGCGCTTCGGCGTATGCTTGTGCTTTTGGTGCCATCCGGCGGGAGCAGCAGCAACTGGGATTGATTGATTGGTTCTCGTTGTTGTCGTGCGGCTCCTCCATACCTGGTACACGCTGGTCGTGACACTTGGTCACCTTATCCTGTGCTGGAACCCTGGAACACACTTGTCCTGATCGCAACTCCTAGGCAGGCCATGTACATGCAATGCACTGCCTAGGACGAAGCACCGGGGAATCCATTTATTGTGGCAAGCACATTGCATTGTACATGGTCTTACGTCTTAGGGCCGGACTATTTAGTTGTATAGTTTTGATTCATATACTCGGCTGGAATTTTTGCATATACGGGTCATCTGAAATTG